GCAGAAAAGGATTCTTTGGTTGATAAGTTGTATCACTTTGAAGAATTACAATCACGTTCATCAGTTGTTCCCAAGACTAATATAACAACCCCAACATTACCATCTGGGTTGTTTCCTGAGTCTGCAATTGCTGAAGAGTTGGTGTGGCCTGAGGGACCATCTGTTGAGTACCATTGCAACTCTTGTTCAGCTGATTGCTCACGTAAGCGATACCATTGCCAGAAGCAGGTTTGTTCTTTTAGAACTATTGTTGATTTTATAATGAATTTTGTAGTGGTGCTTGCTTATGGAAGGATACACCTTGCTGACCATTTTTTCTGACTGTTACTCTATTTAATTTTTAATTGTGCAATATTCATGTTGGTCCTAAACATGAAGATTATTGTTTAGTTAGAAAAGCAAGTCATTTTGCCTAACCTTTCAATGATTTGTATTTGTTATGCCCGTAGTGTGTGGTTAGTATGCAGTCAAACTATCGTTTATTATGAAGCTATATCTGTCCACATCAGAGTTGTTAGGTCTATGATTATTTCATCTCGGGGAGGTTTGCAGCTATCACCTGCTGACATTAGATTGTTAATACTCCCTGGTGAATTCTCTTTGCTATTGTTTTAAAGTAACTTTCTGTTATTTATAAGGCGTTCCACCTCGAGAAGCCTATCTAGCATAGTTTTCATGTCAGGGTGATGGAAGTTTCTGTTTGATGAAGTGGATGTCATCATTATATATAAATTATCTTCTTATTTCCATTCCCTATTTACTTTTATTGCATTTGCTGATTACGTTCATTTTAACAGGCAGATTTTGATCTATGCACTGATTGCTTTAATAATGGGAAATTCGACTCTGGCATGTCTTCATCAGATTTCATTCTTATGGAGCCTGCTGAAGCTCCTGGGGTTAGTGGTGGGAACTGGACAGATCAGGAGACTCTTCTTCTCCTTGAAGCATTAGAACTTTATAAAGAAAACTGGAATGAGATTGCTGAACATGTTGCAACAAAAACAAAAGCTCAATGTATACTGCACTTTGTTCAAATGCCAATTGAGGACACTTTTCTTGATTATGAGGATGGTTTGGAGGGTAGTGCCAAAGAGACTGCAGATCCAACTTCAACTGGAAATGATTTTTCGGCCCCCAAAGATGTCCCTGAAACAACAGAGAATAAGACTGCTGTTAATGAGAGTGACCCCCAAACTTCCCTGATGGAAACTTCAAAACAAGGGACAGAAGTAAATGTTGGAGAGGATACTTCAAAGCCAGAAGATTTGAATGAAGTTAAAGACGGTCAGGAAACTTCAACATTGGAAGATACCGGTGAATTGAAAGTTGATCAGGAAACAGATGAGAACTTTGCACTGAAGGCGCTTAAAGAAGCATTTGAAGTTGTTGGTTATCCTCCAACATCTGAAGGCCACCTTTCATTTACAGAAGTTGGCAACCCTGCCATGGCATTGGTAAGTTCATTGCTTATGTGAGGATATATGGTGCATATGTGGGTAGTTAGTGACACAAGTAAGTGTGTTGAACTTGTCCCACAAAGAAAGAAATAAATTAATTAATAAGTAACTTGAGAGTGCCTAGTGATTTGGCAATTGCTTTCCATATTATATTTCAGATTAGCGACTTCATGTACATTGAGAATTTTTTGCATATTGACAAAAGTTATATGACTGAAATGTAATTTGTAACTGCTCACCCCTTTCTGTAGAAGCATTTGACTTGATCTGCTATTGTATTATTCCTTTTCATCCAGGCATATTTAATTGGATGTATAATGTATGTGTGCATGTATGAGTGCATGCATGCATGTGATGTCTTTTACGGTTTACCAAACCTGCTCTCATATCTTGGGGTTGAATCACCTTGCAATAAGCAAAAATATAACTAATACTTTGGCATTCAGGTATTGCTAATGTGTCACTACTTATAGGTTCCACTCTTTTACAGGCAGCATTCTTTGCACGTTTGGTGGGACCTGATGCTGCTATTGCTTCAGCACATAATTCTTTGAAATCTATATCTGCCAGTTCTCCTGGAACTGAGCTGGCTGCAAGGCATTGCTTTATTTTGGAAGATCCACCGAATGACAGTAAGGAACAGGCTGGTCCTGATAGGTATGCGCTTTGGTGTGGAGAATTTATCCTCTACCAGTCTTTGTATATTCTATCTGATGTCCGTGATGGAATTGCAGTGTTTCTGCTGAAGGGGAGACGCAAAAAGACAAAGTTCATGAAGACAAAAGCCAGAAAGCGGATAACTCCACCTCAGGTTTGGAAGATAAAGATTTATCAAATGATAACAGTGACAAGAAACTTGAAAAACCTTCTACTGAAGAAAAGTCGCAGTCTGCAAAAGAACAAGATGACATAGTTTCTCATGAGGAAGTAGGAAATGATAATTTGAAGAAATCGGACAATTTAGAGTTAACAAGGGATGAATCGCCAACTACTGCGGGGGAGTCAACTGACTCAAAAGTGGAGACAGGGCATCAAACAAGTTCTGAGAAGGAATCAGCAGAAGGAGCAGGAAAGCCTTCTGAACCTACAGAGACAGGAAGGGATGTGGATATGTCTGATGCAGTTCCCTCTACAAAAAATGAGACTCAACAACCAGTTACATCAAGTTCAGTCGAGGAACCTCTTCAATCTGAAGAAGCAAAAGATGTAGATGTATCTAATTCTCTTGCTACAGAAATAAATGAGCCTCAGCCACTGGTTACTGCCAAATCACAAGAACCCCCTGAACGTACAGTGGTACTAAAGGATGTAGATATGGTGTGTGATTCTCAGACCCCACAAAGGGACGAGCCTCAGCAACCAGTTGCATCAAATTCAGTAGTTGAAAAGGGAGCAAGTACGTTTCTGTCTCTCTTCTCTCGTATCCTGAATTATTTATTATTATTTTTGTAACTGGGAATGGTTTTTTTGCATGCCAGTTATGGTTGGATAATTAATACTGTGTAACACATGAGCTGAAAAAAGGAAACAGTTTGTTCAACAAGTTGAGTTTCATGAATTCCAAGTTCAATGCCCATGATATAATGATCTCCGGTTTGTTTATACTTTACAGGTGAGGATCAAACTAAAGATGGTAAAATAGAAAAACATGACAGTACGGAGACAAAAGTGGGTCAGAAAATTGATAAATTAAAGCTTGCTGCAGTTTCCGCGGTGTCAGCGGCTGCAGTGAAGGCAAAGCTTCTAGCAGAACAGGAAGAAGATCAAATCCGACAACTTGCAGCAATGTTGGTGGAGAAGCAGGTCGTCTAAAATGCCAAACCTACCTATTGTTTGTTTGCTATTAATTATAGAAGTTTAACTTTTTGAAGGTTTCTGTTTAACTGCAGTTGCATAAGTTGGAAGCCAAATTAGGTTTCTTCAACGAGATGGAACATGTTGTAATGAGGGTAAGAGAGCAATTGGACAGGTCAAGACAGAAGCTCTACCATGAGCGAGCCCAGATAATTGCATCCCGCCTTGGCTTACCAGGTTCATCTAGAGGCATGCCATCATCAATGCCTGCCAATAGAATGGCCATGAATATGGCAAACCCAAGTCCAAGGCCCCCGCTAGGCATAACTTCCCACAGGCCACCTATGTCAAGACCCATGGGGGCAGCAGCCCCGACTTCGAACCAATTTTCAGCCACAACATTGGCAGGAAGTTCACTACGGCCTCCTAGCCAGGACAAACTTTAGTCAGATGGGTCCAATTAAACACCTGAGGGCATATGAATAGATATTAATTATTCTCCTGCAACCGTCATCAATTATCTTTTGTACCAAGAGTGAGTTAGAGATGGGCGGATCTGTGGTTGCTCTGCTGCTACACTGAGACAGCCTTTGCCCATGCTGCTGACATTGCTATTTAGAAAACAGACGAGGGCTTTTCGGGGCGATTTTCAACAATCCACTTTGCTCTGTTTTGGATATTTCATCTCTAACCATGTAAACCTTATGAGGTGACAAGCTAAGCAAAGAAAAAAAGAAGGGTTAAGTTGGGGAGGAAAAGTATCTCATTTTTTATGTATGTCCACTGACCATCCTAATTTGCTTTAGGTATCAGTGAGCCTTGTGTAATTGAGTTCCTAATGATTTAGGGAATGTGTTGCAAGGTTTTTCTCTTTATGGCTTGGCACCATTGACTTGTTTATTGTAATATGGAGACCAAAATATGCATTTAGAGTTTGTTATCTACCCTATGTAAGCTTCCATTCAAGTTAAATGCTGTTCATGGATTTCTTCTTGACTTCTACGGGCTTTCAGTGCCAACACAATTGACGGTCGGATTTGATCCAATGGGTCCTTGGCCACTTAGTTTAAGCCATTGGACCAAATCCGGTTAATTATGCGCCTCAGTGCATGTAGGTACTCAAAGCCTGTAGGTACTCAAGAAAAATCATTGCTGCAATTGACTATTGACTTTACGCATAGCAGTGTTGCATTCTTGTCATTCAGTAAAGTTGGTATGGCTACTAGTTTGCCCCAAAGCGCCCTTAAGTAACCTGTAGGGGATACCATAGTTACTTGGCTTTGGAGCGGTTTCTACGTGTACAATACTCAAAATATGACTTATCGGATTCCATTGCGGAAGACAATTTTTTTGGAACCTCTAGAGCCGTGCTTGAATTTCCTCAAAGTGGTTAGAATCCCAAAGCTCTGTTTGGAACCTTTGGATGATGAATTTCCATAGTTTCAAGAGATTAAGATCAAGCTAGTATTGAATGGGTCACAAAACGTTGAAGGTGGATTGGAAACTAGGCTCCATTCACGCTATCATGAGTCATGACCGAAAAATAAGCCATTCCACATGCGAGAATTAGTTTGGGCAGGGAGATGGATGTTGCAGACTCGCCGGAAATTTTTTCAAATTCCGGCCAGAGTTCATATCATAACCCCGGAATTTTTCATTAAGAGGATCCGACAGTCATTCAGTATTTCTTGGAATAGAGAAGCCTGTCATCAACTGATTAAGATTATAGGCATCAAACCAGAAACGTGTAATCAATCCACGAAACTCATTACGATTTAATGAAAACTGCGTTATTCTCCTGAAAATACATGTTGCAACACCGTACCAGTTCTATAACAATAATTGGATATCAATGGGATGAAATCAAACATAACTTGGAAGGAAAGGCACCATACAACCTAGCTGAAAGAGCACTGATGAGGAGACCAATTCGTTTCCCACACAAACACAAATGTACAGTGTCACCCCATGCATACCAATAAATACTTCCAAAGATGACTTATTTTTTACTGGAAAAGAATTCGGGTTCAATATTTAACATTCGCATCCGCTTGACCTTGGCTGATTGCTGCTTCCAACATCAATCGTATCCGGCAAGTATCTAAATGAAGCAAAATAAAAGAATATCAACTTATGAGCACTGGAAAAATTATAACTCTCAAGGGTCGAATTAATCAGAATATCTACCGTCACACTTGCTAATACCAATATTTAGCGAATGAAGTAAATTATTATACACACTAACCATAAGTTTCCTAGAATATAGCACTCACAGAACTATAAGATGAAACGAAAGGACATCATGCACCACCAATTTTGATTATTTGAAACGTTTTATATGTCAGTGGGACAGCTGTTATATTTGACAATGTTAAACTAAGTTTTAAGGAAACCCACCGAATCGAAAAGGTTATCTGTAAAAACCAACCGGCACATTGCCCCAATGTTTAATTCCGAGGGAAAATAATTGCCTAGTATTAGATGATTCAATTTGTGATGCAAGTAAATGAAATGAACTATCAAAACACACGGCGCATGTTCCGGTGCATTAGCATAGTGTTCCTAGTTCAACTTACATTTCTTCCTCTTCCCCACTCTTCAGAGCATCCGTTGCTATGCACTGGAAAGCTTCTTCCACATTAATGCCTTCCTTTGCAGAGGTTTCATAGTATGGAATATTTCCTTTCGATGCACACCAAGCTCGAGCCTTTTTCTCTGAAACCTGGAGAATAAACAAATGAATGACATGTAGACTTGAAGCACATGGGATAGCTAATCAGATGTTCATGAGAGCTACTTGTGTGTGAGAGAGAAAGAGAAGATGCACTTTCTTTTCCAATTAGGGATGCATACCACTCTACTATTTCCACCATCTACATCAATTTTGTTTCCAATAACGACAAATGGGAAGTTTTCTGGATCTGAAGGACTTGCCTGCAAAAGACGTCATCATCATAAGTTCCATTCCTCTTTTTTTTTTTATTAATAAATGGAAATGTAAGTTATCCAAAAAAATGAAATTAACAGGAAGAGTTTGAACGCAATGCAATTCTTAAGGAAGAAAAGGAAGAGTGAAAAAACCAAAGACACCTGAATGAGAAATTCTTCCCTCCAGTTGTTAAGGTTATCAAACGACTTCATTGAATTCACATCATACACAAGAACACAGCAATCAGCACCACGGTAAAAAGCTACACCAAGGCTTTGGAATCGTTCTTGGCCAGCTGTATCCCAGATCTGACAAAACACCAGAATATGGTCTGACTGTTAGGACGCAATTAGCCGCCAACTGATCCAAGAATATAAAAACATAAAAAAGAGTACTGGAGAACATAGTGGAAGAGGTGGTTAGCTAAAATATTTTCTACAGTACCTGAGGTTAAGGGCTTAACAAGCACTCCTGGGATAAATCATGATTAGGACAATCAACTAAGTGCCGAAAACATGTATTCTTTACATGAATTCTACTTGGTTATGCTAAAAACAAACTTAAATACCTAGATTACAATCTTCACCCAATAGCCATACAAGACCACTCGTTTCACAATGATTAATTTGAGATAACAAGAAATTAACAAACAATTCATCTCTCTGATAATCTGATTTCCATCAACGAACAGCTTGAAACCCTTATTTTAATGTTCAAATCAATGTACTAGAGGAAGAGAGCAAGCAGAAGGGAGGGAGGGAGGAGAAGACAGAGAGACGTATCAATTTACAATTAACCTGTCTATACATAAACTTAATTTGGTCAATAGATAAAAACCAAACCAGACTTCGTCTTTTGATATAAAAAAAAAAACCATAATATTGCCAAACTAAAACTGAAGTTAGGATATGCCAGCACATCTAAACGTGAAAAATTTATAGGAAAAGGAATAATTGAACAATACATGGCAGTCAACAATTGTCAGGAAGGCTAACACATTTTAATAAGTGTGAAAATCTTAACCATGGTAACAGTTAGAGGGGAGAGAATGAAGGCATGGTGACAGTTCAGCTTGCTATATTAAAAAAAGGGGTGAAAGTTCAGCTTCCTCAATAGTGAATGCAGATTAATAATTAATGCAATTTCTAGTCTTTAAGGACAGAAGAATAAAAAGCAGTTTTAGCGAATCCTTCTCTACAGTAGCAGTAGACAAAGTTGTAACAAATAGAGGGGCAAAAATGCTAGCACCCACACATGCAAATTAGCAAGTCATATTTTGCATTTTACTTTCCGATAGGCATCTAAAGGCATTAGAACTAAAGAAAACCTGTAAGGTGAAGAGCCTGTCTTCAAACTGCACTTCTTTGGTCAAAAAATCAGCTCCGATTGTCGCCTTGTACTGATTGCTAAACTTCTTGTTTACATATCTATACGAATCGTGTTAAAGGCAAACCCAAAAACCACTATGGCAAAATTACTTCAACTAAACAACAAAAGCACCATGTACAAAATTAAATAACCAAATACTCAAATTCAACATCCAAGCTGCCAAAGGATACTGATTCATCAAAGAAGTCTTCCCCACCCTGCAAATCACAAATCAAACCAACCCTTTTACTTTACCACAAAAACAAAAGGTAATTTTTATCCTAACAAGAATTCACAATTTCAATTTCACTACACACCATCCAATTTTCCAGTTAAAAAACAAGAAATTACTCAATTCCTAAATTATACTAAGAGGCCAAAATTAGGGTTTGAGATCACAGTGCATAAAGTAAGATCCAGAAAGATCCGCCCAATTTCAAAACATAAGACCCTAAAACGCACAAATAATTCAAGCAAAAAGAGAGGGGGACGGAGGGACACAGACCCGCTGTCGCCGAGGATGATGACCTTCAAGAGCGTTCTTCTCCGGGACGGCATCGTTTTGAGAAAAGAATTTTGAACGATCTGAGGAGTTGGGATGGTTCTAGATGTTTCTCTCTGTCACAGAAGAAGAGAGAAGATGGTCGGAGCGTGCAAGTCTTGTTAGACTTCCCTGGTCATACAAACCTGGAGCTGACCTGTACTTCTTTGTGAGCGATCTTTTATTTTCATATTTATTATTCTATTTTTCAGAATTTTGTTTTAGAGGTTTTAAACTTTTAGCCGACATAACTCCGTACCAATTATTGTGAATTCATAACTTATCATGTCTAATTCTGTTATCTCATATTTTGACACAACATATAAAATACTAGACTCAAGTTCATTTTAATTGCTCACAACATATCCCAACTAGCTCACCAGACAAGGCCTGAGTGTATTTTTTCTCACCATCTTAAAGTGAAAATGAGGCTCACCGCTCTATTAGTTACTGTTAGATTATTTAAGTTTCAAGATTTATATAATAGATAGATTAAATCAAATTCATCCAACAATTATCAATATGGTGGTTAGCAATATCATCGTTTTACTTTGTAAGCCGGTACAACTTTGTCAATTTTCAACTTAAAAGTATTACCTACTCTATTGTTCTATTTTCCCACCCATTTTTCATGAAATTTTTAATGACATATTTATCCTTCTAGAAAAAAGACTTTTAGACCTTGCTTTTCTTTTCACCCGTAACCAAACACCCTCCTCTCTCGCCAAATATCCATACATGATCCAACAACAAAAAGTGGCTGGTTTGGAAACGGCTTTAAAGTAGCTAAAAGTGTTTTTTTTTTTTTTAAGTGTTTCTAAATTTTAAAAGCATTTGAAGTGCTTCCTGCAAGAAGTACCGATTATGGATTTCTAGTACGAAACATTTCAGGTAATTTTCCTCGATTAACTTGTATTCTTATTAAATATTGATGCCAGAAATATTTTTACTAAAAATGCTTTCAAGAATTTTAAAAACATTTCTAAACGAACTTAAAAATCCCATAGACATGAGTCATGCCTAGAGACCAGCCATCAATCTAGGCTTTCCAAGTATAATTTTGATAAATGAATTTTTAGAAAATATGACATTTTGATATGTAATCTTTGAAACCCATGTGTATTGTTGCTTCTAGTTTATTTAAAAGGTCAGATTTGGTTGATTAGGTGAAATGATTGATCTGATTCCTCGAAGGAGTGGGGTCGACGACGAATCTGACGGAGGAGAAAGGAAGGAGGAGGGGGATGGAGGTTTTGGCGGAGGAGAGGTTCGAGTGAAGAGAGAGGTGGGTGAAAACATTCGTGCTAGAATAGACGAAAAGGTCAAAGGAAGGGATGAGTGCGTGATTGATGGAAGAGATGGCCCCCAAACTGAAAAATAGACTAGACTTCCCAATCCCGGATTAGGATTCTCTCCTTACCTCTTTCCATCCCCTTCCATCCCCTCTTCTCACATTCTCTTATTTTGTCTTTCTCTTACTATAAAAAATTAATATAAAATGTTGATGTGGCTTAACCGTGACCGTTCAATTAGAAGCGAAGGGAATGGGACGGAAAAAGAGAGCCCCCCCCCACCCCACATTGTTGCTCTCTTCGTCCCTGCTTCTCTCTCTTCCTCCCCTCCCGTTTCTCTCTTAGAGGTTATTTAAGAAGTAAAAGTGGGTAGGGAAATAGAATTTCAATTTGTTTCTTTTTATGGTTAGTGAAATTGTATGTGTGGAGAAAGAGGACAATAGGGTGAGTCTAGTTGTATTCTTTTTGGATCTGGCTCAATGCTACAAATGTTTTAACTGTTAGATTTGATTTTCACAATTATTAGATTTTTTATTTTCAAGTTTAACCGTTCACTTTCCTCATCATTCAATACTACCTGCCATTGAAGAATTTTTCTTATTTTTATTTACGTTTGACAAAGAAAAACTTGAACTGTTAGTTCAACCAATTTAAAGTTTTATAAATAAATTATCCCTCAGTTGTCGAGGGAAATAAGATTTTTCACCTTGTTAAAATTTATTGTTGCAAACTCAATTTAGTGTTTCACCCTGGTGAGCACTCATTTAACTATGGCAAAAATGACGTATTGTATTCTTATGTTGCTCACGAGATAAATATGAATAAAAAAAAATGGATAGAAACTTGAAATTGTGATGAGGGGAGAATTAGCAATTTATGAAAATTAACAAAGTTAATTGGTTAAAATAACAGTCTAGGGTGGAAATTGACAGTTGCTTACAAAACTCCAAAAGGTAAATCCCGCTTAAAATACTTTATTTTAATCACTATATTGGTGCATGTTTAATTGAGTGACAGTTTTTTAGTGCATCAACAGAACGTCACATAGTATCACTAATTCTTTTATAATATTAACACGTGAATGTGTTAAGTATTGTCATGCCTTATGCAATAGATTCATCGAAAACACTCAAGTCCAACGCATATGGTTTGACAAAAGGATTTCAAAGGTGTTTCCGACCCACATGCAAACGACCAAGTTCCTAACAAACTTATTAGTAAGATTCACTAGAGATGGACACACACAATTCAGACTGATAAAGAAGCCTCATCTTGGTGACACATTAGGAGTATTAAAATCCTCTGACTCGGAATGAGGTAAGGTGAAATAACAAATGGAAACAAAATTATGCTCAACTTTTCACACCAACACTTAGATTAATCTTTTCAAATTATGAACATAAGGATTTTGACAAAATATAACCTGATATGGATCTCATTCCTAAATTTTTACAAGGCATTCTATTTATAAAAAATGCAGCATGTGTACAAAACATTTGAGATAAATGTGCCTCTGACATTAAACTAAGAATTGTTTCAACCAAATGTTTATGTTTCCTTTTAGCAAGACCATTTTGCCGAGGAGAATGAGGACAAGAGATTTGATGTATAATGCATTTGCTATCCAAAAATTGACTAAATACTTTACTCATATATTCCCCTCCAACATCAGACTAAAAACATCTAATGGAAGCATTGAAATGATTTACAATAAATGCATAGAACTTGACAAAGATCTTAAAAACATTTGATTTATAAACCATTGAAAAATCCATACAAATCGAGAATGTTGATCTATAAAGCTCATGTAGTATCTATATCCCTCTATAGATTTCTAGAGAACAACCCCACACATTTGAATAGATCAACAAAAAAATTTACTTTTGTTGTCTTATACAAAATGGCATGTAGTCTACTCAGTTTTCCATGAATACAAGCAGAACAAATCGAAGGATAAGAATCTATACTAACTGGTAATTATGCAGTTTGCAACACTGCCTCCAACACTTCTTCAGATGGATGTCCCACCCTTTTGTGCCAAACTGAAGCTTTGACCTTCTTTCTAATAAAGGCAACACATCCACCCAAATTTGCAAAAAATGAATTGGAAAAGATATTAACTAGAATTTTGACCAGCTCCCCATCATCACTCATTCTTTGGTTCAAAATCACTCGAGTTGCCTTGTCCTGTATGAAAAACATCACATCATCATAAATAAACCAAAATCCATTATCTTTGCATAACGTCTTAACAAATAAGATATTCATATTGGTCTTTGGCACATGTAAAGCTTTGTGTAATAAAAGAAAGTGAAACCTTCCTTACTACCAATAGTTATTTTGACATCACCACTGTAAAGTGCAACTTAAATCAGGACATTAACGTTTGCTATCATATGGTCAGTTGCACTTGTGTCGACTACCCAAGCATCAGCAGTTGAAAAACCATGAATATTATGAATAAATTTAGAGACATTTTTAGCAGTATTAACACCATTAGAATTGTGAGCAGCCATTCCAACTAGAGATGTAGGTGGAGCAGAACCCCGTATGGGTAGTTATTTCTGTGATAACATTCTAGAATAATGTGACATTTCTTTCCAAATATTCTACAAACCACATAGCTACCAGGAGAATGACTACTGTTGATGCACAAAATCAGAGGTCTTGGAATAACGTAAATCCAACCGTGAATCTGCAAGTAATGTAAATTACACAAGATGTATCGTGGTTCACCCCAAGGTTTGGGCTACGTCCACACTGATTGTAATTCTGACTGTATGTATGGATTACAAGGGTGAGGGGGAGTCCCCTAGAGAAAGAGAGTGTTGTTGTATTTGTGAGGGTATTGCCCTATGTTGGGTTCACTGAGTCCGATTTGTGAGAGGGGGGAGGAGTCCCCTTTTATAGAATAAGGGCTCCTCCTTTTACATAATTATGGGCTGGGTAATGAGGCCCAAATGTTCAGGCCTAATGTGTTAAGGTTTGAGGCCCAATATGTGTGGTACCAACAGTAGTCCCCCAAGTCTTCAGTCAAGAGAGTCTTTGGGCTGGAGACTTCAAATCCAATCCATGTACGGGCCAAAGTGGCTAGATGTCTTGAACCAATACTCAACCCAAGGCAATGCTCAACATAAAGCAATACTTGGCTAGAGGTATCACACATTACGAGACTGCTCGACTGGAGGCAATGCTCGTTGCGAGGATGCTCGGCTAGAGGCTATGCTCGCGGCGAGGCGTTTGCTCGGCTGGAGGCGATGCTCGTTGCGAGGCGGCGAGGCTAGAGGCTATGCTAGCTGCAAGGCAGTTCGGCTCGTGGTATTCCTCATTGCAAGTATCTACTTTATGTCGACATGCACTCAGTATGAGTTGATTCTCGACATGACTCGGGTCCGCTTGTCGGGTTCGCATATTGGGCCTATGTGTCGGATCCACGGATCGGGTCCGCAAGTCGGGTCTTTGAGTCGGGGCCATACGTAAGGTCATCGAGTTGGGGCTATCTGTAGGGTCATCGAGTTGGGGCTATCTGTAGGGTCATCAAGTTGGGTCGGGGCACATAGGTGTCCCAATAAGCGAATGTCCGAGCAAGTGGGTGTCCGGTCAGACAAGAGATCACCATGAGCACGTGGCTCATCAGTCTATGAGTTGGTAGACTTCTTTAATCAGCAACAATGTTGATCAGTGGATCTAGTTACTCATTAATTCCTGCCAATAAATGACAGTATAAGTATGACCGTATAATGAATAAATCAAATTGACAAAGTTTGTCAATGCAAAATATTGTACCATGTGCCTACTACAAATAAATAATTTATTCAGGCGTGTGGTAAATCACATGTTGTATAAGTGACATAGTTTAAAGGCAATCACAATATCACTAGGCCATG